TTATATTTTAATATTTTAATTTAGTTTTGTTTCGGTTGTCCCAAAGTGGCTCCAACTCTGCTCTCTGTTGTAAGTTTAAATACTTGCAATTTTAATAAAATGTTCGTTTCTTTTATGCACTGTTGATATCTAGTATGAGTTAGGGCCCAGATTAGGGTCTTGGCTAAATTTGGGCATATACTCTGTATGTTTATTTAATAGTTGGAATAATTGTTCTAGAATTATTTTTATTGTTAAATTAATTAATTATGTCGAGAGAAAAATTAATTAATAATTGGAAATTAGTTTTTGCCTTGTCTATGAGGATATAAAATTAATTAAGCCAAACTTTTTAGAACACATTAATGTTGCCTTGAGAGAGGATAAGTTAATGAAATATTTGTGACAGAAATATTATTATTCCAATTATTGATTAAATATGTGACAACAGTAGTTAACTCAGATGATGCCTTGGCCCGAAGTCTAGTCCTATACCCGTACTATTTATTTTCTTTTTCTCAAAAAGCACCGAGTAGTTAGTTTATTATTATTTTTAAATCCAATCGAGAAGACTTTCAGACCTTCGTCTAGTTAGAAAAATTAGCTAATTCCCTTCGTCCACTCCTCGAGAGACACGACACTCGGAGAAAACTAACCCTTCATTGGGAAGGTTGACTTACCGAAAAACTCAATCATCATAAGGTCAAACATCCAAAAATGTGGTGTCGGAAAAAGTATAACAAATGAATATAAAAATTATATCGTTGGATAGAGTTCGACTGTCTGATCGCAACGGTGCAAACGGATTTCAATTCGGAGAAAGTTGGACCAAAAAGTGTACCCCGACTGGGACCAAATTAGTCCCAATCAGGGAACCAATCATGAAACGGCGCCATGTTCCCTTCCTGTGCAATCAGTCGATCCCAATTACGTAGAAGCAATAGGAGTTGGCTTCTTCCCTTTTTCTCCACTATATAAACAAACACAACTCCTTTAATTCTTCACCAAAACAATTCAATTTTTCTTCTATATTGTTCTTTGCTGAGAGAGGAGTGCTCTGGTGTTGTCACTTTTGTGTGAGGTCGCTGGATTAGAGAGTATTCGTCGCCGGAAGTTTCGCCGGAAAATCTTCAAAACCTCCCTTACGCTTCAAGGTAAGCCCCTAGATATATCTAATGACTAGAATGTTCATATAGGTCGTTTCTACGTTCATAAATGGTCATTTGGTTGAGTTTTGTGTTTGACATGTTTGAAGAACCAAGAATCATAATCCTTGAATTTGATGTTAAAAATATGTTTTAATAATTCTAATATGATCTATGAACCTTGGAGAACATCTCTATATAGTTTAATGAAGTTCGGTGACTAAAAATGGTTTTCCCGAAAAATGAACCGAGGTTGAAGATGAATGAACAGTGGCTGAAAATCCACAGAGTGGATCGATCCCCTTCATTGGATCGATCCTCTGGGAGTTTTTCTTCTAGTTGGATCGATCCAAAGGGCTGGATCGATCTTCCGAAACTCTGGTCCGAAATTTTGTCTGAAATTGCTATTTTTGAGCTTTAAAATCCTATTTTTGATACCAATTGATTATGATTATTATAAAAATGATTTTTCACAACAAAAATGATGTTTTTAACAAATTAAAACATTATGTGAAGCATGACGGTAAGTTCGGGTGTTAACACTCGAGACTAGGCCGCTAATTGTTATTAAATGTTATGTTGAATGATCATTATGATGAACTATTATTGTGGCCAATTATGAATGATTAACCTACTGATTGGTATGATTATTGATTAAATCATGATTAAAAATGGATATTATGGATGATTATGAGTATTGAACCTACTGATTAAAATAAGTATTTATGATTGAATCATGAATAAAATGAATACATTTATAATTATGAAATGATTTGTAGTGTTAAGGGTATCTAGAAGAACTCTAAGGTATACACATTTAGAAAATTGATGTTAAGGCTATCTAGAAGACCTCTAGAATAGATCTCATGTTAGTATGGATTTGTGAAACCTGAATATTCGATGAGTTAGATAAAAATGTATAAACGGGATTCGTAGACTAAGCTAGAGGATCACTCGTTTGGAAATACTTCGACTCAATGATGATTAATTATTCTCTTATTGTTGCCTTAAACTAATTATAGTTTAAGCGTCTGAGTATTGATTGCCTTAAACTAATTAAAGTTTAAGCATCGGAGAACTGTTGCCTTAAACTAATTATAGTTTAAGCGTCTGAGAAATGTTTGCCTTAAACTAATTATAGTTTAAGCGTCTGAGAATGAAATTATGATCTGGCCTTAGACTAAGAATAGCTAAGAGCGTTGTTATGATCTGGCCTTAGACTAAGAATAGCTAAGAGCGTTGTTATGATCTGGCCTTAGACTAAGAATAGCTAAGAGCGTTGTTATGATCTGGCCTTAGATTAAGAATAATTTAAGAGCACTATTTGATTAATATCTGAATTGAATAAAATGTGTTGATATGAACTGAATAATACCAAAACTGTGAATGTCTGAAGTGAACATTGTGTGCATGATATCAAATGATTTGATTATGAATTTAGATTCAGTTTATATGGATGTTCGACGCATTAGATATGCTTACTCAGCTTTACCGCTGAGCGTGTAGTGTGTTTTATTTGCTACACGCAGGTAAGCAGAAAGCACAATGTGATCCTGGCGGCAGATGGGGCGAGATTGTCGGGATGGATGTGACAAGTTTGAAATGATTTATGATATGTCAAAATTAAATTCGCTTCCGCAATATTGTTGAATACTCCGTACTGTATATGTTATGAAAAAT